CCCTAAAATAAAGAATAAATTTCGTGGACAGAGATTTTCATCATCTGAAGAAGCTGTGGACGCCTACAAAACGGCCATTTTGGAGACCCCAATTTCCGAATGGAATGATTACTTCAATTATTGGTTCCATCGTATGGAAAAATGTGTCAAATTTCGCGGAGAATACTTCGAAATGCAATAAATACATTTTTAAATAGTAATGTTGTGTCACTTCCTCGATTCCCGAAATTTTCAGTGCGGCCCTCGTATTACCTACCTATTTCATAAATTATAATGGCAAAACGTCGTTCCTACTATAATTATTGCGGGGATGGATGCTTAATGAGCAAACAAAAGGATTCAGATACATAATTTTTAAGTTAACGAAGGATAATGAAAGGTGAATTTATTTAATTTTTTGTTGTTAGATAGGTACTTATAGCGAAAATAGAATTAAGTAATAATTTAACTACAGAAGTAATACCTAAGTACTTTATTACAAAACTTAGTTGAAATTTACTTCACTTCCCAAGTACCTAAATACATACCTATACTTACCTTTTGTAATTAAAATATTTTAGGTTATATTAACACAAAATACTGAAATGAAAACTTTGTTTACAAGATTTTTAACTAAGTAGAATACGATCACATTTCTGTTAGGAATCGTATTTCGGGTATATTTGTTGTTTACACTATCTACCTATTTCTTACGAGCCAAGTATCGCGATTTCCGACGAATGGCCTTGCAAGTTGCATGCGTTGGGTATTACAGAACACACATAATAGCGGAAATATGGTCGATCATAGTCAGAATAGGTATTAAACTTACACTTTCACAAGGTATTTTTAGGGTTCCGTACCTCAAAAGGTACTTTATTGTCCGTCAGTCTGTCTATCAAGACTAGAGATGGGCAAATGCCCGGGCATTTTTGGCAAATTTCCTAATAAGCACCGATACATTTCTGTCCTTGGGCATTTATCTGGGCATAAATTTTAGTACCAAAATTGATTTACAAGATTTATGTTAGCATTGGAAGCTGGTCTAACTTGTTGAGTTTAGTTAAGATAAATTATTTAAAGGTTTTATTCTTTTTTTTAAATATGTCTATTTTACAAAACCATGTTTACGACATAAATGTTACGAATTACGCCGCAGCGGGAAGAAATACTTGTACCAAGTGAGTGAGTGAGGGGTGCGGGACGAGGGATGCGTCCAGGAAACACACCGCGCCGCCATTTTGTTGTTAGTCATCCTGTCAGTTGCAGTAACCGCACGTGCATTCTATTTGTGTCCATTGTTTGTTGTATTCTAGTTCCGGTTAACCAATTTATGCAATTATTAGTATTAGTATCAGATATTCCGAGTAAAAGTAATAAATGTTTAATACCTTCTGCATATTTTTGATGTACAACCAGAAATAAGAAATCTTGTAAAAAATGGTTGTAAAATAACTTACAAATAAACTTACTTATTATTTAAGTGCTTGCTTTTAGAAAAATATTTGTTGTTTTAGCGCCATGGGAGGATAAAAAAATCATACTATATGGAGGCACTATCATCAATTACCAGACAATTCCGTAAAGTGCTCTTTTTGCGAAAAGCATTATAAAAAGGAGCATGTAATAAAAATGCAGCAACATCTTCTGACCTGCTTTAAATGCCCACAAGGCGTAAAAAAACAAATTAACGATGTCAATAAGTCACAATCCAACTTAACACCAGAATCCACAACCACTTCATTGAACTCGGAGAACACATCGACCGAGAATATTAGAGATTTAAGAGAAGTGTTTGCGAAGGCTCTATAAATCACGGTAACACCTCTAGCAATGGTAGAACACCCATTGTGGGTATAATTTTTTAAAAAAATTAAATTTTAAATTGCAAAGTCTATTGCAACTAAATATCTAGAAAGAATATATAAAGAGATAAATAAAGAAATCAGTGATGATTTAAAAGCATCAAATTTTCTACACTTGCAATGCGACAGCTGGACTGATGTTTGCAATGAAGGCATTATATTTTTTTTTAATATCCAAGCCAGAACCTGTTTTTATAAAAAGTCTGAACACACTTGATAATTGGCACACAAGTGAGTATTTAAGTTGTGAAACTGAAAAAGTAATGAAATCTTACGGAGTGAGTAAATTTGTGGTCCTTATTGGAGACAACGCAAGAAATGTCCAAAAGTCATTCGAAATGATAAAAACAAATACCCACATATTGTGCCATTGAACTGTGCTGCTCACACTCTGAATTTATTGTGCGTTGATGTAATAAAACCACCCGAAGTTAAAGTTTTCATAGATCTCGCAACAGATGTTATTAAAAATATTTAAAAAAGTCAAGTCTTAAGTGCTTTATTAAGTAAAATTAGAAAAGAAAAAAGCTCTAGTCAGAGTCTAAAATTATCCTGTAAGACAAGATGGGGCAGTCAGGTCAGTGCACTAAAAAGTCTGAAAATTAATAAAGCTGCACTACTGACTTTAGCTGTTAATGAAAATCTTCAACCAACGCCTGATATTAAATCTACACTATTAGATGAAGATTTCTGGTCTATGATAGAACAATCCATCAGTGTTCTTGAGCCTATAGTAGAAAGTATCTTTAAGCTAGAAGGCAACGAATTCAACATACATGAAGTATTTATGGTGCTAAGAAACCTTAAATCAAAGTTAGAATTTGTGTTACCAATTTTCTACACTTGCAATGCGACAGCTGGACTGATGTTTGCAATGAAGGCATTATATTTTTTTTAGTATCCAAGCCAGAACCTGTTTTTATAAAAAGTCTGAACACACTTGATAATTGGCACACAAGTGAGTATTTAAGTTGTGAAACTGAAAAAGTAATGAAATCTTACGGAGTGAGTAAATTTGTGGTCCTTATTGGAGACAACGCAAGAAATGTCCAAAAGTCATTCGAAATGATAAAAACAAATACCCACATATTGTGCCATTGAACTGTGCTGCTCACACTCTGAATTTATTGTGCGTTGATGTAATAAAACCACCCGAAGTTAAAGCTTTCATAGATCTCGCAACAAATGTTATTAAAAATATTTAAAAAAAGTCAAGTCTTAAGTGCTTTATTAAGTAAAATTAGAAAAGAAAAAAGCTCTAGTCAGAGTCTAAAATTATCCTGTAAGACAAGATGGGGCAGTCATGTCAGTGCACTAAAAAGTCTGAAAATTAATAAAGCTGCACTACTGACTTTAGCTGTTAATGAAAATCTTCAACCAACGCCTGATATTAAATCTACACTATTAGATGAAGATTTCTGGTCTATGATAGAACAATCCATCAGTGTTCTTGAGCCTATAGTAGAAAGTATCTTTAAGCTAGAAGGCAACGAATTCAACATACATGAAGTATTTATGGTGCTAAGAAACCTTAAATCAAAGTTAGAATTTGTGTTACCAACAATCACAATGCTGGATGACGACAGCAAGGAGAACATAAAAACTTATATTGAAAAACAATTAACTCGTGCATAAAACCCATACATTATGCGGCCTACATGTTTGATCCTAAATCTGCAGGCATTGAACTAAATCAGGCGGAAGAAACTGAAGCCATGGAATTCATCTATAATAACCTCACTGAGCATTGCAACATTGACTGTCTTGCTGACCTGGCTAAATATAAAGCTAAAGAAGATCTTTGGAGTAAACAATTTACTTGGAAGGCCGCTGAGAAAGTAAATCCCATTTTATGGTGGAAGGGGATATGTGGCTCAAGTCAGTTAAGTAAAGTTGCAATTAGAGTATTGACTGCACCATGCACGTCAGCAGCCATCGAACGGTCGTTCAGCACACAGGGATTTATACATAGTGCTAAAAGAAACCGTCTCACATCAGAAAGAGCGGCGAAAATAACTTTCTTAACGTATAATTGGAACTTATTAAATAAAGGTGAAAACATTAATCGTGTTTACAGTGAAGATACTGTTCCAGAAAGGTCCGACATGAAAGACACAGATGATGATATGTTGCACGATGCAGCCATGGAGGGTCACATGCAAGAGGATATGGAATCTTCTCTTAGGGAGGATATATGGAAAGATATGGAAGCAGTAGCTTCAACTTCACGACAAACTAATCATATTGAATTCGTAAATATTAGCGAATGTTTATATGATACCGATAGTGATTAGGCTAATGGAACTTGCAATACAATAAAAAAATACTTTAATTATTATACCGGTCGGGTGTTAACAATGATTCTCTAGTGTGATTATAATTCGAATTATAATAATATTGATTATTAGAAATTTTACAATATTGTTCCTAATAATGCTATAAGTCATATTTTCATTATTTGATTAGTACATATTGTTTTATTTTATTAATTAAGCACATATTACACTAATATGTTTATATAAAAAATATATTGTTGATTCTTGTTAAGATTTTCACATGACAAAGTATATCAATGTTATTATTTTAAAATAAAAACGTGTTCAATCATGAACATTCCTTGTTTTATTTCTTTAATAAGTACAATTTTACATGAAAAATTTAATTTGACCACGTTTTAGTATTACTTTTTTTTGCCCTGTAATTGGACATATATTGGGCAAAAATAAATTTATGCCCAAAATGCCGGGTTTTTGCCAATTTTTCCCGCCGGGCAGAAACAGATTGCCCATCTCTAGTTAAAACCCTTTTTCTCAGGAACGCGAGGAGGTATCAAGCCGAAATTCATATCAAATAGTCAAGTCTACTGTCTCTTGAAGCTATGAAAAAATCAAACTTCTAAGCCAACGCAATCAAAAGATACAGCCGTTTATGCCGCAAATCTTCGACACTCGCAAGGGAATCAAAACCTACATGGTACTTCCCGTGAACTCAGAATCTTAAAATTTGAAAAAATAGTAAGTAGCTACTGCAGCCTATGAAAATTTGCCACCAGTTTTAAAAAATATGGTTACAGTTGCGTTGTCACCCATGCAAACTAAGGTGGAATAGGAACGTCCAACCCGTAATTATAGTAATTGTAGAATGTTAAATACTTACATGCCCTGATTGATGGCATCTTTTAGTGTTTTAGGCGCAACACTACCGGGACCGTTCATACCGATTGTACTACATTTACATTCAACATTAAGAATGTTTGTTGTGTCTTCAGTGCAGTAGAATTTAGGATTTCCCGTTACACCAACAACAAGAGATATAACACTACAACTTTCTTCTTCAGCAGATGGATCTACAACACATTTGTCCCCTATTTTACATAAAGTGACCTGCAACAAAATTATCCATTCAGTCATTACTTGTGTGCCTCTTTGTTGTGACTCTACGCCCCATGTTGACCACAGGTATCCTCTTATATCTGAGATGAGATAGTTATGGAGTCATAAATTAGCCACAATGCTGTGTGTTGGCGGGCTTCATAATATTTCCTCGAAATATTTTACTCCGCAAAAACAGGTCTCCTCATGATTCTTCACGTAAATGTCTGCTATTAACAATGAGGGCATCCACGACTTTTTCTGCCACCAGGGCGGCGCCACTAGAAAGTTAGGTATAATATTTGACAGATTTCACAGTGGGGAAGTTAATTTGCTCGGAAAATGTAAAATTTATTGTTTCTTTCTATACTATATTTTATATTAATAACATTAAAAATAAATAAACCAAACCACAGATATTCATAAAAGTAGAAAAATTTATAAAATGTTAAAAATGTGCAAAAAATTAAAGAGCAAACCACTGACGTATTTTTTTTGTATTAATATAATACTCTAGAAACTGAAAAACTTTTACTAAGAAACAACTTCTTAATTAAATTATATTTTGTTTCAAAAAACTTTACCCCAGTGTCAACTAGCGACATCTGGTGACAGGGTTCGTCAAAGCTCGGAAGCGATCGGAAACTCGAGAATTAGTGCGGCGGTGTTGGTAGTTTGACGCCTTTGCTCGTGCATTTGTCTGTCATCTGCATTTTGGGCGCGTGCAGTGTGAATGACGGAGCGTGGTTATAATTTTTTGTTGTTTGTTATCGAGGTTTTATTTCTTTTGAGTGAGTTTTGTGTGCCAACGGCCTACTTGGCTACCCATCCACTATCCAGGAAAGGAATTACGTGTATACTTTTGATGTAAGTAGCTATATTTTTATTTTTGAGTGACAGTGACGTCGACGTACCTATGTACGTGTGCAGTTTATGTCACGTAGGTATGACCAGGGGTGAAGGTATTTTTGTATACGGCCAATTAACTTTTTCATATAATCTGCGCATTTTTTTTATTTTTTTGAGTAGAATACATTCTCGCATCAATCTGTGTATGTTAATATTATTATTATCTTGTCTGCTAATAGTGTTATATTTTTATTTTGTTAGCCTTGATTGCAACTGTATTTATCTATATTTATTATGAATATCATCTCACACACACTTTCTGTACGCCTGTATGTCACACAGGCCTTTATGGTATTTTTTGATGTTGCAGGCTTGCAGGAATTAAACATTCAAATTCAAACATGGAGCAACAGAAACGTGAATTCAAAGAGTACGTCTAAAGGTTTGCAAGACAAGTCGTCAGTATGGAACTATTTTATAAGGACTTCAGACGGGATTCACGCACAATGTAAAAAGTGTAAAATGGTTATTAAATGCCGAAATACATCTACATGCCTACATAACCACTTAAAATTCCACCCTACTGAGCCTAATGTCGATGAACGTTCGGCCACACATTGAAACCTGTAAGAAAAAGTCGATAAAAATGAGCCAAAAAAGTAGAGAATGAAATTAATCGACGCATACTTTAAAAATCCTGAGAATGATATGGAGAATGTGGTATCAAAAATGACAACTTGTGACGGTCTTCCATTCGGCATTTTCTGTTATTCTGATTCCATTCGAAATCTCTTTAAAAAAAGTGGCTACGACGACTTGCGGAAGTCACCGAACACAAGAAGATCGTAGTAGAAAAGAGTGCACAATTAAAGGGTGATCTGAAGAAAGAATTGGAGAAATTAAAGGCTGGTAACCGACGTTACATGAACATTAACATTCATTGTTCAAATTTCCAAGGCAAGGGATATAGGAATCTGGGACTAGCGAGAATAACTGGCAGTGCAACGGCGGAGCGTTGTGCCAATATTTTGATGATGATCTATATGATTTATCTTTGGAATAGGACATAGCATGCATAGTGACTGATGGAGCAAGAGTGATGTGTGCTATGGGTCGACAAGTTCCTTCGTACCATCAATTATGTTTCGCACATGGTAGCCAATGTGCAGTGCTGGATGCTATATACAAAAAGAATCACGATGAGCAAGAAGACGAAGAGGAAGAATCTGCAGAAAACAAAGACGAGACAAATGAGGATACTGACTCTGACAGTGATAGTGAAGAAGGAGGATTTGTAGTTGAGCAACATCTGAACGGAAAACGAGACCTACATATATATACAGGGATTTTAAAAAATGTAATACAGAAAATGCGAAAAATAGTAAAATTTTTTAGGAAGTCGTCCACCAGAAAAGAGATTCTCGATAACTATCTTCAAGAAAAACAGAATAAAATGGGTTTGATCGTAGACTGTAAAAACCAGGTGTAGCAGTTTAGCCAATATGATCACAAGATTTTTGGCATTAAAAGACGATTAGTTATGGTGAGCTGGCTTTACTGTAGGAATTGTCCACTTCTTTGAATATTGTAAAGGCAATAGTAGAGGCGCTGTGCCAAGAAAATGCAAATCTGCTTACTACGGAAACTGCCCTTTAATTTATAGTTGTGAAACTTGAAAAGATGAACAGTTTTATCAGTGACAGGCTACTTGAAGCTCTGAAGAATAGAATTGCTCAGAGACGCCTACCAAATTTAATCTGCACATTAAAATATCTCCATAATCCTAGTAAATATTACGCAGAGCCATCTTCGTCTATCTTTTCATCACCAGGCAATAACATTATTACAGAAGTAATAACTGAGATTAATGAGTGATACTTTTCTAAAAGACAGAACTCTTATAATGACGAAGATGACATAACCTTAGTTCAATTTCAGCAGCGGTAGCGCCAGCATCAGCAACAAAATGGGTCATTCCTGGAGACATCTGAAATGACCTTTAAAGAAAAGTTACAAAAAATTATAAATGACACTAATTTCGCCACTCTTTCTACGTCTACAGCAAATTCATCAAATAGAGAAGTGTTAGAAATGTCAGTACGAATACATATGGCGCCATTTGATAGAGGAGGTCCTAGACAAGTCCATTTGAGCCAAGCATATGACTTCCTCATGTGTAATCCACCTACAAGTGTAGAGTGTGAAAAGGTGTTTTCATCAGCTAAATACTTAGCAACCATTTAAGATGTCCTTTAAAAGATAATTCGCTAGACGCGCTATTTCCTTAGGTCCCACTTTCAAGGAAAACGTTGAAGAATTTATTTTTATTGTAGGATAGGCTTGCATTTGATGACAATCATGCATGCTTAGGAGAAAGCAGTGATGAGGTCTAGGTTGGAATGTGCTTGCCTAGAAGATACCTATTCACTCTTGCCTTGAAGGTACTTAAGTTGTACGTGTATGTGTAAGAATAACCCAAAGTTAGATGATAAGATTAAATCATATTTTATTTTTGTACAATGTAGCATTGATCTGATTCTGATCTCATAAATTCTAATGCTGATTAATTATTTGTATTCTATCACAGTTGAATATCTATCTTTAAATTTTTTTAAGTTTTGTAAGTAAGTAATATGTAATTTTGTAATGTGCATCATGTGCGACATAACGAAGAAGCAACAATAATGTTTAGAATTTAGTACTTTATTTCTAGTTACATAAAAGATTTTAAGCATGTTGTTGTATTTGTAGTTGATTGTTTGATTTTGTTATTATATAAATATTATTACAATACTCAGATCTCAATTTATAAGACTGTTGTGTATATAATTGTGTTGTAGTTGTCTTGTTAAGCTCCAACTTTTTATAGTTTTTTGTAGGACTGCATTAGAGCCATAACAGTGAAATTCCAAACAGTTTTTTAATTTTAACTAACATTTTGTTTTGATTGAGAGAAATTAGACTCTTTTTCTGCAGACTTCCAAACAGTAGACGGTACTCAATTCGACTGTATGTTTTTTTTTTTCGTTTTATGTGTTACCTCATAACTTTATACTGGGTGAACCGATTTGGATGATTCTTTTTTTATTTGAAAGCTGGTACTTCTCGTGTGGTCCCATATGAATTTGATCAAGGTCAGACCAATAGTTTTTGAGTTATTCTTAATAAATCATATTGAAGTCGGCTGTAGAAAATTTTTAATTTTAAATTATTATTGATATTTTTATAGATTGAGAGAAGTAAGAGATTGGCAATTAAAAACATGATCATTATAACAGCTTTTGCTTTTTTAAATTATTCAAATAATTCGAATAATACCCGAAAAAAGTCGAATCTTCGAATACCATAAATTTTCGAATATTTGCAATGCCTAGCTCTATGTACTGGGTAATATAGCCTTTTATTTAAATAAGTTTAAGAACAATTTCTAAAAGTAAGCTATTAACATAGTTTAAACTTTTTATAATCTCTTGTTATTCAGATTTTTGAATAATATCTTGATTCTATACATTTTAAATATGTGTATACCAATTATAAATAATATGTTGCTAGTTGTACAAAACTCATACAAACCAGAAGTGGAGCACACCCAATATCCAACTGTTTACTGTCATATGGGTCATCCGACAATTGTAAGTCAACATTGCCTCCATCCATAAGTGCTGCTTTGACAAAAGGTAATCTAGTGTTAAATAATGCGGCCTTCACTGCAAGGGATACTGCATCACACAAATTACCTCCACATTCTAAAATCTAAAATTACATGAGATTAGTTATAATATAATATCACTTGACATATTTACAATTTTATCTTAAAGTGAAATATAAATTCAAAATATTTTTAACCAAAATTGGCTATTACAAAGCACTTATTGTCACACTTATATGTAGTCACAAGCTACCCATCACTTCATCCAGACCCTACGACAGGAGCTCTTGTGAGAAGAAGCAGCAAAAAACTTCCTCATATCAACATTTTTTCCCATTTACCTGTGTAATATTTATTTTACGAAATGCATACATTTTTTCTTAGAATCTTGTGTCAAGATCAAGTTCCATAATATTGTATTCTTTTTATATACACAGGTCAATCTCGCGACAAGCTTGATGGGTTTTATTTCATTTAAGTTCCTTGTCTGCGAAATAGACACAATAGTTAAACAATTAAAATGTTCATATATGATTCGTCTAGTTTACGAAGGGCTGTTTTCGGCGACTCCACGTCTATGCGCGTATTTTGCGTGAACATGATTCGTCTATACGAGGTAGAGTCATGTTGCACCTACATTAGTCATTTGTAGTACGAATGGGTCAGCTTGACCGGGGAAGGACCACACTCTCACAGAATGCGTGTAAAATAGCAGCTTAACACTGCTGTGTTTCGTATGGTAAGTGTAGAGAACCGGAGAACCTTTTTACTGGAAGAGGCATTGTCTTAGTCCTCACCAGTGACAACACATCTGCATTTTGAATCTTTATTGAGGATAGATGTAGATGTCTATGGGTCACAGTAACCACTTACCATCAGGTGGACTGTGTGTTTGTTTGTCACCCTACCCTAAAAAAAAATGGAAAAGGGTTAAGTTTATTTTTTCTTTGTAGAGGATTCAAATAAAAGCTTGTTTATAAAAACGTTTTTTTACTATTAATATATTTTTTATTTTTAAGTTTTCACTGGATTAGTTTTTAAGTCTGTTTATTTCATTTAATGTGTCTTTGTTGCATAGTCATTTGACTGTTAATTTTGTAGTCTTATTTAGGAGACCTAGCAATTTGACTCTACTTAAGGTTACATTTTGCTTCACCAACAGTGTAGTTTTGGGCTTAAATAGACAAGTGTTCTTCTCAACAAGCCCTATCATTTGATACCCATATAATAGAATAAGAAAATGTTGTCTGTCATCTTTGGGCGTCCGCCATATTATATTTTGTGTAACATCATTTCATTTTTCTTATTCTTCTCAGTAAACCCTTTAAATTCATACCCATATCATGGAGGTGCATAAAAATATTTAATCTTTGGGAGTCCGCCATATTGGACTTAGAATAACGTCACTTAGCTAACCATGCAAACCAAACATGTATGCAAAATTTCATCAAATTCTGCATACTCAATCGGTTGGGGATAATGGTTTTAAAATGTAGTTGCGAGATTTGACCTAAACAAGCAAACATACAAACATTGCAAGTTCAATAAAAGCTTCTAATGAGCAGAAACATAAACTCTGTCAGAGTCAAATTCTATTGGCATGTTTGTCTATAAATTTTACTGGAATCATGTTTAATATTACTATTAATATGTCCGACTAATCAACACTCGTGCTGTATATGTTTAAATTATAAAGTGGTAATGGGTCATACAGCGCAAAGAACTTACAACCAATGGGGAAGAAATGTGAAGAACCTTTCTTCTTTGAGGCAGTTTCGTACTAGTAAGTGCAGTTTCTGAAGACCACCCATAATCAACAAGAAGCGACAACATGATGCAACATATAGGGAGTCGATGGATGGATGGATGGAGGATGGTTTGTGGCAATCTATGGGATGGGGGAGACCTACATTCAGTAGTAGACTTGTGCTTGTAACTTAAACTACCTATACTGCTCATATTATTATGCATTGAAAATGTGATATTGAAAATTATTTATTATTGAAAATTCACTTGATTGTAAATTAGGTATGGAGCCATGATGTTATAATTATATAAGTAAATTGTTGATTCCTTTCTAAGGTAAGGCAAAAATAAATCACATAACCAATGGATTTTTTTGTCAAGAAATTCTCAGTAACAACCTGTAGGAATTGAGGAAGTTGTCAGTGTTTCACCCCCTTTGCCTTGGAAATCATATAAAGCCATTAGTCCTGTGCTTGATCACTCTCCAGTTGTGTCTGATAGCTGTCCCATCGGTCTATCAGAATGAGGAAATAGAGAGCGCATCTATGCATGTACACATCTTGTTCCCTGTAAAATCCCGTCTTACGTTGATGCCTCTCCACTGAGACTTGCCACCGTGACCAAAATTCGGTCTGAATGAAAATATTAAGAATGCAGAGCATGCAGGAATTAAAAACAGTAACTTACTAAAATATCAACATATAATTTCCAACACTGTTTGCCTTCAAATATACAAAGTTGTTTCAAATTAAAGGCCTGTGAAGTGTGGTAAGCTCGCTGCATCATGTTGGATATACTATTTGCTAACTGCTCCCCTCCTCTCCCTTCAAACTCAGGTGTAGCATTAGCAGAACTGAAAACATTAATTGTATTACAACATTCCATAAAATATTTTATACTATATTTGTAAAAATACTAAAAATTAAAACAAAATCTGATTGAATATAGATATTGGAAAAAACATCCTCTAAAGTTAAGATGATGAAAAACTTGAAACTTGATTGAACAATGATTAAAACTTGGGTACTGTACTGTATTACAACACCCAAGTTTTAATTTTTAGTTAATCTAGATTTAACAGTTTGACCCGAGATGCAATTAATACATTTAAGTAATATAGAAATCAGTATAATAGTAATATTAAGTGGGCTAACCAGTCAACAAAGAATTCTATTTTGCCCTTTCCAGGGTTATCTGGTTTTGGTACATCAATTTCTGTTTTAACACCAACTAAGATATCTGTGTTAGCTAGCCGTAATCTTGCAGAACCACTTGCATGACTGACTACATCAGTTTCCAATTCCATTGGTCTATAGTCAATATTAGATCTACCATCTGATCTGTAGTCATTCTGAAAAAATGGAATGAGAATCATAAAGCCTTAAGATTTTACAAGCTTCAGTAACTTCAACATTTATAAATATTTTGATTGGTAAAAGAAATATGCCATTCCTTATGGCAACTAAAATATTTATAAATTAGCATTAGAAGATAGAAATGGGACTGTTATTCAGTGGTTCTGATACTAGAACACTAGAAAAAGATTTGTTTTTTAAAACTCATAACTTTACCCAAACCAAAATTACACTTAGGAAACAAAATTTGGAACCGGTTTCAATCTACCAAATAAAATAAGCTTACGGATTAGTAAGCTAAAGTGGTAATAGCCCGGCCATATAGTTCGAAGAACCGACAACCAATGCGGAAAAAAGGTTCTCGAGTGGCAGCCTCGTGTAGATAGGCAAAGTGTAAGGCTACTCCTCACTAGAAGGAATGACAACCTGGTGAATGACAATGAAGACATGCAGAAAGTCGATGTATGCAGGTGGCTCAGGACCGTGCCTTGTGGCATTACTTGGGGGAGGCCTATGTTCAACAGTGGACTTGTGAAGGGCTGTAACGATGATGACGATGAAATAAAATAAGCTGCTAATTAAGGGTAAAAACACATAACCTATAAGCAGTGTATGTTCTATTTCTACTCAATTAAAATGAAAGTATAGTATAAATGACTTTTCTAAACTTTAATTTTTTTCAATTTATAGAAATATTTTTAAGCTTACTTGAACACCGTGCAGGATAAATATTTTTTCTGTAGAACTAAGTAAAGGACCAGCCATATCTTCGTCTATAGAACTGTGTAATTATAAGTTATTTAAATTTTTGTCTTTGTTTTTATTACTTATCAGCTTATCTTCAATTTATTGCATTATTAACAGAAGTTAAAGCTCATTAAATAAATTTTACCAAAAAAATTAAAAACATTAACAATAACATACTCACTCATAGATTTTTTTAATAAATGGCCGTAACTGGCTTTGGCTCTGGGTTCTAGCTCTTCTGAGCCTGAAGTTAAAATGTATAATTATTCTTCATAGTACACTGCTTCACAATATGTTAATGCGTCACATTGTGCAGCCCTTGGGAGGTTTTGACGGCAACTTGAGTCAGCAGACAGCTAATATTTGGCGATGGTATCTTAATCTCAAGGCACATGAGTAAAGAAACCGACCAGAGGGGAAGCTACATACAAACGACTCGCTTCGGGTACACCCACACATAGCGCAGCGATGTTGCGTGAGCTCTCACCGACAAGTTCACCGACGCTCCGTCAGGGTACAAACTACAAACCGGTTTGCGCCGGCTCAGTCAGAGTGTGAATGAAAGGGCTGTTGGTCACGCTGATTGAAATAAATAGACGAATAATATTTCGTGATTTTATAGATCAATAAATCTATAATTTTTTTTACAATTAGAGTTAAGTTTAGAGATTGTGTACTATAAATTAAGAGATTATAGATTTATAAGTATATATCCATATTAGATAATTAGTGTTCGTATAAGCTAAATGCCGAAGTTGTACAGTATGTATGAAAAATTCGAGAGAAAATAATACAATAGCCAGACAGTGGTGCAGTTAGTGTTAGTGTTAGTAGTGCTGGTGATGGTGATGGTGGACGGTGGTGCTGATCGTGCGGTGTTGGTAGCGGTGGATGGTGGTGCTGTACGTGCTAGTAATGGTGTCGGTGATTGTTGTGGTGCTGGTAGTATCATTGGTGGTGGTGGTGGACAGTGGACCGCCACTGGCACGACCAGCATCACCACCACATCCCTTACTACCGCCACCATCATCCTGTTAGTAACATTGGTGTTGGTGGTCTATTAACACCGCCACTGCCCACTACAGTCATTACTAATATGTATACAGGGTAATTTTTAATTTACTGAAGACCTTTTGGGAATATATTATTTACATCATAACAACAAAATCTGTAAGAAAAGAAATTATATTTCTTCAATTTTTATTATCATACAAAAATAAAAATATTTTAATTGGACTTTCTAAACGGCAATAGTCCTAAATAGCAAAATAATGCGCGTGGCGGGGTAGGGGTGGAGGGGTGTAGGAGGCGGCGCTTGCTCATTTGAACTTGACCTAATTATCTGTGTCGTCAGTCGGTCAGTTGCATTTTGTGCGCCCGCGACTTTTCTCCTTCCGTTGTGAGATTAATATCGCGAACGTTACGCGTTGTTACAATGGCATACCGATACTCAAATATTGAGTATACCGAAATGGTGCGAATTTTAGCAATTTGCAATGATAACGTTAGTGAAGCCTGCCGTGAATATTCAAGAAGATTTCCCAACTCACGTGCACCGAGCTACGCTACGATGCTAGGTACTACACAGCGATTGTGAGATTATGGGCAATTCCAGCCTGTATCAATCGATCGTGGTCGTCCACCGCGGCGCACAGTACGTGAGCAGGAAGACATACTGCAGTTTTTTGAACAAAATCCAGCAGCGAGCACTTATGAGGCAGCCCGACAGTTCAATGTGTCACAGTACTACGCATGGAGTGTCATACACAATGAAGGGAAGTACCCTTTCCACTTGCATCGTGTGCATGAACTCAGCGAAGCTGACAAACCAGCGCAAGTTACATTTTGTAACTGGTTACTAGCTGCTGAACGAGCCAACATTTTATGGACTGATGAAGCAACATTTGGCAGAATAGGACTATTTAATTCGCACAATGAACACTTGTGGTGCTATGAAAATCCACATGAACCAAGACCGCATAGCTTTCAACACCGGTTTAGTGTCAATGTGTGGGCAGGCGTCATTAATACAACGTTACTGGGCCCGGTCTTCATAGAAAGATTAAACGGTGAAAGCTATCATAGTTTTCTGCCAGAGTTGTTAGAGGACATACCACTTGCATCTCTACGCAATATGTATTACCAACTTGACGGGGCGCCGACACACTATGCTCGCCAATTTAAGGATTATTTAAACAGAGAATACCCTGGTCGCTGGGTCGGTCGAGACGGGCCTTGTGCATGGCCTCCCAGATCGCCAGATATCACACCAATGGATTTTTATTTGTGCGGGCATGTAAAGACATTAGTGTATACTGGTCGAGCATTCGAAACCCGCGACATGTTGAAAGAAAAAATAATTTGGGCATTCGATCAAATCAAAATGAATCATCAAGTATTATCTCGTGTCGGTGAACAGTTAAGTTTTAGGTGTCACCTATGCATAGAATGTGGAGGTGATTATTTTGAACGCTATGTGCGCGATACTCACCGCCATCCGACGACAAGTACCTAGGGAAGTCTAATTTTTAAATTTGTATTTTAATATTTTTATTGAACCATTATACCTTAATATCTTTATTCAATTACTGTTAATTTTTATTTAATCATTATAAATATTTTATTGTAATATTTGTAATTATTTTAACCTGCATCCATTTTTTAAATACAACTTACATTAAATAAAAAAATAGTTAATAATACTCATTTAATTTGCACGTGCTGCAAACATCGATCACCAAATCGATGCCTGCAAACCGAAAAGGGCAGGCGGCTCCTTTGATGACGGTGACACCTGTGTCGACGTTATAATATATCGTTGGCTTGGCCTTGGGCCGCCGCATGTGCGACGTTGAGGCGTTGCCTCTTGGATGCAGGCAGAGTTGCTAGCAAACAGTATTCGTAAAAAAACTACCTAAATGTCTATTAAAGAATGTCTATTAAGTCTTAAAGAAATTAATAAAAGAATCAAATAGTTCATCAAATGGTTTTATGGCAATATGGCAGGTTTGAAAGATGACCTTATCACAAAAATTGATAAGGGCGTGCTTCGGTGGTTTGGGCACGTTGAGCGAATGAGTGAAGACCGAATGGTGAAGAAAATATATAGCGCGAAAGTTAATATTAAAAGGTGTCGAGGTAGACCGAGACTAACTTTCGAAGACCATGTGAGCAAATTGCTCGAAGAGGGTAGGGTCAAGAGTACTCGGATACCTAGACGTGCATGCATGAAGAAGATAATGAATCTGAAAGAAGCGAAAGAGATATGTAAGGATCGTGACACTTGGCGATCTGTTCTCTCTGGCTACCCCGTCAGGGATTGTGCGTGAAGATAAGTAAGTAAGTAAGTAAAATGGTTTTATGCAAAATAAAGAAGTATATGAAAAGTTAATGTAAAGTCATTTAAAGTGGCGCCCTGGTGCAATAGGCACAGTGATGAATGGTTTAGTAGGCTCTCGCAACTAGGGTTACCATATCTCAGGATTTTTCCTGAGATTTCAGGATTTTTAGACTTCTCAGGATTGCGGCTGGATTTTGCAAATCTCATGAAATCTCAGGATTTTTAGAACTTTCAATATAATACAGCTTACATTTTAAAAGATCTCTTAATAAAAAGTTAAACAAACTAAAAATAATTTTCCTTTGGTAATAATTCCACAATTAAAATCAAAACTTATTTATCCAAGTAGGTACTTAAACAGTTTTATCATACTTAATATGTGAAGATACCTTTTTAAGTAAGGTTTTCTTCTCAAACTGTAAAACAATCTCAGGATTTTTAAATGGAAATCAGGCCTCTTCTCCGGACTTTTAATTTTTTCATCTGGTAACCCTACTCGCAACACAATCAGCTGAGCGAGGAGTTTTGGCGGGAAATTGACCGGCGGCGGTTTGCTGCTCCTGTATTATTGTTTAAATAATGGTTTGAAGTGGACTTTGATATGTAAAAGTGTTGCGATTTTGTGTATTAAGTGTCTACGCATGTGAACTATTAGTGGAAACAGTTAAACAAGTGCTCTGATGGTGATGGATTCTCAAGATAAGCTGTTTGTTTGCATAGGCACCTTTAGATACCATCGCCAACTATCAGCTGTCTGCTGGATCAAGTTGTCGCCAAAATCTCCCAAGAACTGCACAATGTGACGCATCAACATATTGTGAAGCAGTATACTATTAAGGAGTGGGAAAATTACAATAAACCGAATAAAAATACTTAAGACTTGGCCTAAAGATCTAGATACCAGGCCATAAACTCCAAAAAAAAATCAGCTGAGCGCGGGCGTCGACCGGCCCGGCAGTCGTTCTTACGTATTATAAATTTTAATATTTGTGGTTTTTTTTTTGAATGTCATTTGCTCATTTAATTATGTTTAATGATTTCAACACAATGTTTGATACTGTATCAAGTGTAAAAATGCCTTATTTAGGCATTTTCTTTGACGATTTATTCTGACATTGTTTAGGTACTACAAAATACAGACTTAAAAGGAGTCAGACATGACAACAAAACCTTAAAAGTAGTTTATTCGTAAATGTATTATATTCTGTGAAGAGTGATCTCACTAAAATTGTTTGTAATGATGTAACCAATATATTCCCAAAAGGTCTTCAGTAAATTAAAAATGACCCTGTATATGTATAGATATGTATATGTAATGGAAGCTAAGCATGAAAATTAGCAAAATGTACAATTTTTGCAGTTTCTTTTTTAATTACAAATAACAGACATGTTATTATATTAACTTAAGTTACAATGACTACACATGTTATTTTATACAATATAATAATTTTATTTTTTCCTTAAAATTTTGCACTTGCATCAGGTGATAACCCTATCAGAATAGGTATAGATTTTCGACGTTGTTAGAAAGCTTCCCCTCTGGTCTTCTTTACTCTGTCTCAAAGCGCCTAATCAGACAGACAGGGAGTTTTGGCGGGAACTTGACCATAGATGCTCAGATGGTGATGTGATTCTCAAGATAAGGTGTCTGTCTGCTTTTTTTAATAACTGGCTTTAC